CCCCGCGCGCATCGCCGGCTGATGGAGCTGTTGAAAAGCGTCAGCCTGCCGGCGGAGCAGCACGCCGCGGAGCTCCGCGCGATGGCCACGACGCGACCCCCTTCTTCTTCGTCTTTGTCTTCGGTTTCGGTTTCGGTTTCGGCTACGACGGGTGAAGCTACGAACGCGCGAGCGGGGGAGGGACGAAGCGGACGCGCGAACCCGCCGGAGGGCGTCCGGGAAACCGCGTTGACGACGCGCGGTGGCCCCTTGCCGCCCTGTGCGGTGCGGTTTCGCTATCATCTCAAACCGATTCGCATCCTGGCAGGGGCGGGAGGGCGGGTGAGTGGGGTGCTTTTCGAGCGCACCGACGCCGATGTGTCGGATCCGGACGCGCGTTACGTCGTGGTGCCCTGCGATCTCGTTTTGACCTCGGTAGGGTACCTCGCGGAGGGCTTCCCGGGGGTTCCGTTCGACCCCAAAATGGGCGTCATCCCGAATGAAAACGGCCGGGTGCGCGGGATGCCGCGGGTTTACTGCAGTGGATGGGTGAAGACGGGGCCGAAGGGGGTGATTTTGCACACCATCGCGGACGCGCAGGAAACGGCCGCCGCGGTGATGGAAGACCTCCAGGCGAATCGCCTCCCCACCGTCGGCATCGACGACGACGACGACGACAACAACAACAACAACAAAAATGGGGAGAACCCAAGCGAAACGCTCTCGCCCGCGGCGGAATCCACCCCCTCCACCACCACGATGTTCGGCAAATACGGCCTTATCGATTACTTTGTGGAAAAGCAGATGGAGCCCGTCTCCATCGCGGGGGTGGAGCGCATCCTGCACGTCGAGAAGGAGCGCGGGGTGGATCTCGGAAAGCTCGCGGAGAAGGTGGATAACGTGCGTGATATGCTCGACATCGCGCACGGAGGGGAGATTGGGAGCACCGCGAACGATCGCGTTCGCGGCATCGCGCCCGCGCGCCCGGAGCCGCTTTTATATCTCAAAGAGCTCCTCGACGATCACACCGATCTCGCGCCGCTTGCAAAGACGCTCGCAAGGGAGGTGCCCGGGAAGATGGCGGAGGGGCATCACCCCGGCCGTATCTCACCCTTTCAGTTGTGATCCTCCACGCTTGAAAGGAGAAGAAATCGAAGAGAAGAGGGAGGAGGTGAAGGGGTAGAGTTCACCGAGAGAAACGAATACTTACTGGTATTATAATCTTTAATATATATATATATATACTTGTAAAGAGGCTCTTTGACTTGAATCTTGCCTTTGCTTTTTCTCTTATCTTTTTGCTTTTTGAGTTTCGGCACGGTAAATACATTTGAGTAAGCAACGACGCAATGAAAATTATGCATTTTTATTTTCACTTTGGGTGCCTTTTCCCTTGAAAAATTGGCTATTTCGGGGTTTAACCCGTTTGTGTAGTAAGCCTCCATAACCTGTCCTTGCCATGGGATAATGGCAAAAGAAAAGGAAAGAAAGAAGGCCCTCGATTTCCCCCTACCAATCACTATTCTCTATGCCTCTCTATCTCCCGCTCACACTACCTTCTGCTTCTTTTTCTTCGCTCATGCTCAGCTAAACACACAAGCATTAGTTAATTTCTTTTCATCCCACACTTAATTACCAAATCCTCTATCTAACTCGTTCGATCCAATCGCCCGACCAACCTCCCAAAGGGGAACAAAAACACCAACAAACCCCCATAAAAAGAAAAAAGAAGAAGAAGGAACGACGAGAAACGCCTTGGAAATGGCTCTTTCGATGAGTGCCGCGCAGAGCGTGGCGAGCAGCTTCCTCGCGTGTTATTACAACGAATTCGTGAAAACGGATGAGATGGCGAACATGGCGGAGTTCTACAACGACAACTCCTACCTCACCCTTGCCGACCTCAACGAGGAGGCGCCGTTTATCGCGCACGGCAGTCGGGAGATCCGGCTCCACCTCGCGCACCTCGACAAGCAACTCGGGATGCGGAAGGTGGAGATCATCATCGCGGACCCCACCCCGCTTCCGGATGGCAGCGTGCAGATTTTCTGCCAAGGCGTGATGTTCATCCGGATGTTTCGTCGGGTTTTCCTGCACGCCTTCGTGCTCTCCCCGGTGGCGTACCGAAGCAACACCTTCTACGTCGCCTCCGATTACCTGCGGTTTATGAACGCGGAGGAGGAGGTGATCCCGCCGGGCGCGGTCGTCCTCGCGCAACACGAGGTGGAGGCCTTCCTCGCGGAAAAGGCCCGCCGCTCCGAGGAGGACGCGAAACGGCAGCAGCTTTTGGAATTTCAAAAACGACTTCGCCGTCAGAAGGAGGAGCGGATGGCGATGCTGGGGTCGACCTCGAAACCCCCCCTCCCGCCTTCCCAGCCGACCAACGCGCCCGCCGGGGAGACGCGGGAGCGGCCGCGTGAACGGCCAGGCGAGGGTGAACGAAGAGGAGAAGAACGGCGAGGAGAAGAAAGGAGAGGAGAAGAAAGGAGAGGAGAAGAACGGCGAGGAGAAGAACGGCGAGAAGAAAGGAGAGGAGAAGAAAGGAGAGGAGAAGAACGGCGAGGAGAAGGCGAACGGCAAAGGGGAGAGCGGCGTGGCGAGCGAGTAGACGGGGAACGCCCGCGGGAGCGGTATTGGCAGGGGGATCGGGAACGACGCGGGGATCGGCCGGGTGAAGGGGACCGCCCGCGAGGAGGGGAGCGGCGTGGTGAGCGAGTAGACGGTGAACGCCCGCGCGGCGAGCGGCAAGGGGAGCGCTATAGACAGAATGATCGAGAGAAACAAGGCGAACGATCCGGGGATCATGAACGACGTCGTGAACGTCCGGGGGATCATGAAAAACGTGGGGAACGACAGGGTGAGAATGAAAAACGCCGTGAACGTCAAGGCGACGGGGAACGCCCGCACGAACGATCCGGGGATCATGAACGACGTGGTGGAAAGCAGGGCGAGGGGGAACGTCCACGGGAACGACAGAACACGGGCGAAAAAGACAAGGAAAGGGAAAAGAACAAGGAGCGAGAGAAAGGCGGACCGAAAGGCGAGGACGACGCGCGCCGCCGCGCTCCCACGCACGTCCGTCTCGTCCGCGTCCCGCTTGAGATCACCTTGACGGCGATTCGGGAGGTGGTGGAGGGAATGGCGGGGGGAAAACCGCGGGATGCGTATTGGCTTGGTCGAGATAGAGAGCATGCGGTGCTCGAGATGCGCAACGCCGCGGCGGCGCAGGCGCTGCTCAAATCCCCCACCCTAAAAATCCTCAGCCATGAGGTGAAGGTGATGCCCTTTTACGTGTAAGACGAAGGGGGAAGGAAAACGGAGTGCAGAAAAATAATTTTAACGCCCCCCCCCCCTCCTCCTTCCTCTCCTCCAAAAAAAAAAAGAGGAAAGCTTGCAGTCCTAGCGTAGGAAATGGGCAAGTTGGAGAATAAACGAAAAAAAAATAGAAGTAACGGCCGCGGATCCCCGTAAAAGTATGATAGAAGGGGGTGAGTTTGTTTGTTAAGAGGGGTATTCTACTGATCCCTCATGATTAAATCGGTTTGCGAAAGGAAAGGGGAGGGCGTGAAGACTAGGTTCTATGTATAGAACTTGGACATTTATTTTAATTTCTAAATGAATTAAGAATATGATAAAATGGGAACCTTGAAAAGAGGGAAAAGGAAACACAGGTATAGTAGTACAAATGGAGACACTGCTAGGGGAAGAGCCGCGTGTAGATGTCTTTCTTGAAAGAACGAATGAATTTCTTTTCTACTAATAATCCTTGCTTACCTTTCTTTCTTATTGCACTCGTCCATAATTCATAAAGTAATATCTATCTCCCACGCTAAGACATCCATTGAGCACATATCAAGTACGATAGTCTATTTTTCATTGATATCGGTGGAATATATTAATTTACATCTATATTCTTTGTGTGTTTTTGCTTTCGATCAGTGTGGAGCTTTTTTAAAAAAAATTCACAAAGGCGAGGACAGTAAAAACAAAAAACGAGGAAGTTCACACACATTTATTTGCCCCTCATATCAGTATTTTGTCTGGTGGTCCAAATTTCATGCGAAGTAAATAATTGCACTAAAAAGAGATGGCATCAACCACAACCTTGTTTTCCCATGTTGGCGATAAAAAATCCGCCGCGAAGCGTATCGATCCCGCCATTCGTAAGGCGAATGCTGCGAAGCTTGCGGCTGGTTATACGAAAAAAAAGCGCTTCTTCGAGTACTGCTACCTCAGTCTGAGCACCTATTTGTGGTGCGCAAATCTGTTCATCTGCGCGCGTTATTTCATCTCCTGCGAAGAGGTGAACTTCATGCAGATCGCGTCGATCCCGCTTTTCGTGTTACCGGCGATGGCGCTCGCGGATCTCGTATCGGGTTTTGTGCACTGGACGCTTGATACGTGGGGGTCGCCGGAAACCCCTGTCTTTGGTAGTTTCATCCGAAGCTTCCGCGAGCACCACGCCGATCCGTCGGCGATGTGTTCGCACGATTTTATCGAAACCAATGCGGATACCACGCTCACGCTGCTTCCTGCGCTCCTTTGGCAGCATTTCGCCATGATGAAATCTGGTGCTAGTGGTCATCACTTCCCGTATAACGTGCATGCGGGGAATATCGGCATGCATGTGTTTCTGCTCACCTTCTTCGTCTTGGTGGCCATCACAAATGAGATCCATAAGTGGTCGCATATGGTGCGGCCTCATTTTTTCGTACGAAAGCTGATGAATTTGGGAATTATTCTATCGCCTAAGACGCATCACAAACATCACGTGGATCCATTTGACTGCAGCTATTGCATCACAACGGGGTGGATGAACCCGCCGCTGGATCGCGTTAACTTCTGGAGGTATATGGAGATACTGGTGACTATGGCGACGGGTGCGGTTGCACGTGAAAATGATCAGCTTCTCCTGGGAAAGTAAACAAAAAAAAAAGAAGAATAGAAATGGAAATAATTTTTAAAAAATCAAAAAAATATATTTCTATGTGATGGAATATGCACCAGGCACATCTGTTCGGGTATCCTTTGAGCTCTAAACGAATTCACAGGATATCATTCACCTGAATTAAAAAATACAATTTTACCTATATTATATATATATATATATATATATATTAATATATACATATATATTATATATATATATACCTTTGGACGTTTATATACATATATATATACATACATAGATATCTGTCCAGTCTGCATCAAAAAAAATCTACGTAATCGTATATTTTTAAAGATATTTTTACAGGGAAAGGTAGTTAATGGGGCACGATGGCTATTTAGAATATGTATCTATAATTTTTTTTTCGCATACAACATCTTTCTCCTGAACATCGCTCCATTTGTGACTCATGCTTTCCTCATAGTGTTGATCCAGTTATTTATTTCGTTTTTTTTGGAATTTGTATTAATAATTCATACCGTGGTGGCTTAATTTAAATGGCGAAAGAGGGATGCATTATACCCTTAGCATAGAAAATAATTGTTCCTCCGATGTGGTCGCTGCTTGTTTGGTATTTTTGAAATCCCATCTTCCTAAAGAATGTGCTGAAGGATACCTGTAATGGAGTTTATATTTACGAAAGAATATGGAAGTTTATTAAGGAATGCATCCTCATTCTGTAAAAGGACAATCTCTAAAACCATGTACGAAAAACAATATTTAAGGTGAACAGTATGTCGTATTAAGAACTCATGTTTAGCGTTCTTTCTTGGTATTTTCAAAAAAGAAAAGTAGAAAAATATTTCCTGTTCATGTTCTTGAACTAGATAATTGAGCGGCATGTGGTAGCGCAGCACCGATTATAGTGGTCGCTTTTTATTCTATTCTACTTTTCTCATCGTGTGTGCTCTCATATAGTTAAGTGCTTTGCTCGTGTAAGGGTTTCAAATCTCTTCAACACGTGCATTGATACGTACATGCTCCTGCAGAGTGGTTGGATACTCAAATACGTATCTATATATGGGTTCATTCGCATGCCAAGCGGAGGCAAGCTGCTTGGAAGTTCCAGATTTAGGGAGCTTCCCCTTCCTCTCGCTCAATATTTGAGGGCTGTGCACAATGCCCCTATCCATCTGTAGGTACAAACGCATCAAAGGAATAGCAAATAACGGTAAAATCGGCATTCCTCACAACACCAGCTTCATCCGCACCGCAAAGGGGGAAATATTGAACAATGTATAGAGGGGTACGATGGTAGAACGATAAGGATTTCCTGTGAAAACCGAAGGGTATTCAGAAATCTACATAAAATTCAGCGTCATATATATATATGGCACCCCGATGTTTAATGTACTATTTATAATGATGAACCTCAGTGGTAGTCGTTATTGTTGTTATTGCGATCGTTACGTGATCCATGGTTTCTAGAATAGGTATGGTCATCGTCATTTCGGAATGGAATAGAATAACAATGACCTCCAAATTCACCCGCCTAATTGTGGCAGTATTGTTAATTCTGGTTCTTCATAACCAAATAAAGCATAGTATAAGACAATGTACATGAAAAATTTAGGCTACACTTGGTTGTCATCTCATTAACTGATCTCCTTTTCTCCACATCGATAACAAGGAAAGAAGAAAGCGAGGGAGAAAGCTACGCGTAAATATCGTACGAACCCTTATAAAAGGTAGAAAGTAAGCGAACAAAGAATATTGCGATCCTTTCGACAAAATAGTCGCACACATAAAAAGTGCAAAGGGAAAAGAAGAAGGGAAGAAGGGTGGTGCATAAAGCTTGAAGCTTGAACGACCAACCTTTTGCTTTTCGCCCACTTCTTTCAGTATTCTTATTACATATATATATATATATATATACATATATACACGCATACGTCTTTCATCGTTTATCAAACTTTTTTTCTCTTTTCTTTTCTTTTCCTTCCTTCTTCTTGACAGGGAGGGGGAATATGGCGCTCGTACCGGAGGCCGTTCTCTCCATCGACCAGCCCGTGCTGACGCCCGCGCAGGAGCAGGAGAAGTGGCTGCAGGAGGGCCTCCAGGCCGTCGCACGAAAGGCCGAAGTGATGCGTCGCCACTTCGCCGAGGCCGCCGTTGTGGGAGAGGAGGGCGACGATTTTCTTCGTTTTCGTCGCGCGATCGACGCGGCTGCCGCGATGCTCGACGAGCTCGCCACCGGCCTCCTCACCCCACGCCATTACTACGAGCTCTACGTCAAGGTTTTTGACGAGCTCGCGATGGTTGGGGAGTTTCTCGCGCAGGAGCACCGCGAACGCGGGCGCGCGCTTGAGAATATCTACGAAGTTGTGCAATACACCGAGCCTATTCTACCCCGGTTGTATCTTCTCATCCTCGCAGGCGCGCTCTACATCGACGCCGGGGAGGAGCCCGTGCTGGAGATCCTGCAGGATCTTATTGAGATGTGTAAAGGCGTGCAGCACCCCACCCGCGGTCTCTTCCTTCGGCATTTTCTTCTCACCATGATGAAAGGCAAGCTCCCGGGCGATCCGAATCGCCCTCCCCGCGCTCACAACACTAACGATACCGACGCGGGCGTCTTGAACACCGCCGAGTTTCTGATTCAGAACTTTCAAGAGATGCTCTGGTTGTGGGTCCGTATGGAGACGAAACACTACCAGAAGAGCGTGAATGAGCGGAACCTCTCCCCGCGGCGTGTCGCTCGGCAAATCCAGTGGGATCGCCAAGAGATCGAGGTTCTGGTCGGGATGAACCTCGAGCGCATCGCGCAGCTCGACGGCATCGGCGTCGAGGATTACCAAAACGTGATTTTGCCCAAATTGCTGTCGATCATCGTGCGGCATCAGGAGCCGCTCGCGCAGCAGTACCTCCTCGAGGTGATCGTGCTCGTCTTCCCGGATGACTTCCACCTCGCGACGTTGGAGCGGTTGATGCAGGGGATGCAAACCCTCACCCCAGGGGTCGACCTCCGCGCGGTGTTTCACGCCCTCATCGATCGCCTCGGGAACTTCGTCCGGACGCTTCCTGGGGGGCGAAAAGACGCCCCGGACGCGGGAAGCGCGCGAGAGAACCCCGAAGGGGATGGAACCGACGCGGGCGGCGGCCGGAGCCCCGGCGAGGCGCTCTTCGCGACCTTTCTCGAGCACTTCGAGCGGATGCCCGTCACCTACGACGTGGGGCCGCCGCCGACGGGGGAGATTAAACTCTCCAGCCTCGCCCCGCCCCGTCGCGCGATGCCGATCGCGGCGTTCGTCTGCTGCTTGACGAGCCTCGCGCGGATGAGTTGGGGGGGGGGTCGCCCGCGGCGGGGTCGACGCGGTGCTCCACGCGATCGCCCGTCGCGTCTCGGAGGCCCTCCCGCTCAGTGGGCGGCTGCCCAGCGCCGCGACCGACGCCGTCGAGGGGCTCCTCCGCGAGGTTCTC